TCTTCTTCAATAGCTCTACAGCTGAAGATTGAGCCATGGCCTCTTGAAGTTCGGCCTTTATCAAATTCGAGGCCTCCCTTTCTGGTTTCTTATAGAGATACACTCTCGGTAGGTTGCCATTAACCCTTCGGAGAGATGGCGATCAAATAAGAACGATTTTTGGTCAGATTTAAACTCGGATCTTCAGCTCATTAGAGGAGCGCATATCTTTCTACGCCATAATCGCCACCTTAAATTCTATTTTTAAAAAATATTTGGGTAGAAGATAATAATCGCAATTAAATTAATAATTTTTCCTTACTCTTAGACAATCTTAGATAGTTTCTTCAATCTCTTTCTTATATAGCTTGTTCTTTCCAATCTTCATCAATCTTCATTCAATCTTCGTCCATAAGACAGAAACACCATAAAGAGATTTAAGTAAAAATTTTATGTTCTAAAAAAAAATCAGCATTCTACTTCTCATAGTTTCATTATTTCTTTCTGTTTTTTCTTATTATTTTTCATTTATCTAATTGTCTGAGAAATAGACATATAAATTAAATTCGTTATAATCTATTGGACGGAAAATTTTAATGATAAAAAGTTAATCGAATAAAATTATTAATGTATTATATCTTCATGGTGTTCCGTTACGGTATGTAACTATTTTAAATTGAGAATTAAGTCGATATCTCATTGGGCCTAAGAGATATTGAGGAATCCGTGAACACGCATTTTACCTCTTTTCACTCCCTTAGAGATCGAATTTCTGAAAATCCCTTCTTAGTGCCCTAGTGTTTACGTCATGAAAGGAACATACTCCCAGAATTTCATGTTTCTAAGTTTAGGGGTTTGGTCTGGGCGTTGATGAGTCAGTCAGTCAGTCAATTGATCAGTCAGTCAGCCAGTCAAGCAGCCAGGACATTTGTTGTTATATATAGTAAAAATTATAGCTGTTTAAAATAATCAATATATATAGAAGAATAATTGTCTACAAAAAAACAGTTATAAATAATTAATTTGCAAGTAACAGACAAAATATAAAATAATTTGCTCTCTTTACGGTTCTTTTGCCTCCCTCCAATGCCCCTCTCCAAGCTATTTCCTCCTCTCAGATTCATTTGTTCAATTTCACTCGTACAATGCAATACTTGCGAAAAAAAGATTAATTACGACCGCGCATACGAATCACTAGAATAAAACGCACGGCATTCTGCACGACATTCCCGATGTTAATTACACGTGATGGGTGCTTCACCATTGTACATTGCGACGTAATCTCATTGAAACGCGATCACGAAAGGTGCACGAGAAAAATAGCTTTATAATTCGCTCGACACCCGCAAATCTCGCGAATTTCGCAAATTTAGCAAAATAAATGAAATGTCAAACAGCGGATGGTTTCGACAAATTACGGTGTGTATATAAATACCGAATTTATGCCACACGCGGTTGACAAATATTAAAATACGGTTCTAATTACGACGGTACTTATTAATTAAATGTAATGCAACAATGAGCAACGCTCGATTGCGTTTCGATTCAGCTAAATGAAAGATTCAAAGTCTGATATATCCGAATATACATGAAATATTCAAAACACGATACAATACGAATTTTTATCTATCATAAATCGCGCAAAACTTGATTCTGAAACAAAAACTACTAAATTTATAGTTGTTATAGTCGCGAGAGTTAATTAACTACTCGCACTGATTGCTCGTAAGTAAAAAACAATTACATGGTTTGATCGCGATCGAGTCTCGAGTAATAATGCTATACGATTGCACAAAGTTCGTGCTACTATTTGTTCGCCAGAGTTTCGCTGCGCGAATGACAACGCGGCGTACAACGACTTTGTTGTATATCAACACAAAGGATATGTGCAAGCCAATCTTCCTTTACAAAGTATCATATTACGTAAAATAAATGTATGTCGAATATTCTATTTCGCGCATTTCAAATGAATTTTCAATACACATTCGATATAACGTAATTTCGTTACTTAAATAACGTAATTTTCAGGAAAATTGCATTAATAAAAGATAATAATTACTCACCGATATACGATATGGAAGTTGTAATTATTTTCAGATTTCCAGAGAAGTCCCTTCTCTTTCTCAGATTCCATTCATTGCGCTCGTACAACACTGCTGATATTACTTGCACGCGACGCGCGCTTTATCACGTATTTTACATTACGACGGAATTCCATCAAAACGCGATCGCAAAATTAACGCGAAAAAAAAGAAATGTAAAAGAAACAAAGCTTTATAATCTGCTTGATATATGTATATTCGACCGCTTTTAATCCGAAAGTAATAAACAAATTATGTTTCAAATCAGCGAAATCAAATTAAGCTCGAATACGTTCGAATTTAAGCATGATTAAACAATTTTATTATTTCTCATCCGCATATAAATATCGTAATAAAACAATTTATCATTATAACTCCTATCCCCAGCTGCAACTTGAATTCTTAAATCTTAAGCGAAACGAATAAATTGTGCGAAATATTTGCTTTGATAAAACTAGTCACGAAATTTACAGTCAATTAATCGCGGATGCTGACTGATTATGCTGGTTAATAGTCGAGCTAATTGTTCGTAGGAAATAATTGCCTTGGCTTCTCCTCGTACTTGACATGATCACGTTCAGATATACCAACACATAATACCACGATATGTGGAGCGACACGCGCCGTTGCCTGCGTGCCGTCTCGATCCGCGAATAACAATGCAGTGCGCGGCAGCCTTGGTATTGGTACTACCGAGGTCGCTAACAAAACAACACCAAGGCTGACCGACACATTTACACAGTTTCGTTCCAACCAAAGATTCAACAAAATTATTAGATTATTACTATAGAATATGCCATTTCTTGTATTTTTAATCAATTTTGATAAGAGAACTGTTATTATTGTATATATTGTGCACTTTGTTTTGTGGACTTGTAAGCGTAAAATAATGGTTGACTCTGTTCGATCAAAAGAGTGTTTTAAAATAAAGAAAAAATGTTATTTGAATACTAATTGATGAGAGCAAAATTGCCTTGATCTCGATATATGTGTATAAATGTATATTACTAATAGTAATATAAATTTTTAATGTTGCATAAAAGTTATTTCCTTCTTTTAATGATAATTTAAATGGTTAATATGTATCATTTAATTATTCCATTTACAAATAACTAATTAAAATAATACAAACGTATTATTTAAAAAAATTAAAATAGAAAATAAAATAAATATTCAATTTAATATTGCTAAAATATTAACATATCGAGACTCATATATATTCATAACTATGATATATTCGTATCAAATTTAGTAAAAACAAAATAATCGCCTGACATAAACACCTATCTCATTAAATCAGGATAAAATACAAGGAAATTATCATCTAATATGACAATAATAATATTTTTTAGAATACAAAAGTGTCATAATAAAAGTGTCGTATTTTGTAAATCTTAATTATAGTATTTTAAAAATCTATTTTTTGGATTCAAGTCAGATTTTTCATGTAAAAAAAAAAGTAATCGTCTTCTTTATAAGTTATTTTCAGAGAAATGTAATAAAAGATTTAAAAAATTATTAACATGCATACATATTTGATTTTATAATTAAGGATCAATTATTGAATTACAAAAAACGAAATTCAGATTGTGTCTCAAGATAAACTTTATCTAAATGTTTTAATTGAGTCATAATTGCGCGCAAGTATTATGTAACAAATGTTAAAATAATTTTTAAGATTTATTAATTAAATCGTATCATGTTACGGATCCTCGTTCCAATTTTATGAGAAGTGCTTTAAAACTATTTTAAAAGAAGTATTATAATTCTAACCATTTCTCCTTTTCTCTCCCTTCTCGGATTTACTTTTCTCTCCGCGGTTTTATTTAATAGAAAGGAATTCTCTCTTTTGCCGAATATTTCCTGGTAAAATCACATTAATAGGTATCATGCCTCCGTGTCATCAGGAATGCTTACGTGCTCGGTTTTGGGATCGAAAAGTAAATCGTGCTTGCTATTTGTTACTTGCTCCATTGCGCCCATTTCTGAGTAATTCGAGTCCTCGAGATACCCCTACTGATATACTCTGAACACACATAGATGTGCCGTATGCGTGATTGAGATAAATAAAAGTAAAATGGCAGTAAACTGGAGGACTAAAGAAAATTGTGATTGAAAAATTTAGGTGACAAGAAACAAAAACGACCTATATAAATTTTTCCTGCAAGAAATAGAAAGAAATATATATTAGATACGAGTCCAAAAACTGTAGAAATATATTCAGATGATTCAGATGCAACAAAATCGGTATAGAATTCGTAAGATGAATTGTAGATCTAATTACAATCACATGTCTTACATCTTTCATCTTTGTCGCGTATTTACTGCTAAATCTCTTTGAACGTAACTCTTTAGATAAAAAATATTTGGCTCTCTATCATAGCGAAAGATATCCCAGAAGTGGACAGTCATGTTTTACACTTAACTGTTTCGCGTGAGAAGAGAAATGTTTTAAAGAACAGCTGTGCGAACAATGTTGTTGTTACAGAAATCAACGTTCGTTTCGAGGGTGAACGAGCGCGAGTCCAACTTTTCGTCGTTATTTTTCCTCGTTTCTCGCTGACAAACACAAGTGTCATCGTATAGCCTCTTTACGATTCTCTATGGAGTTACATTAATTGCTACGGAATCGTTGCTGTCGTAAACATAAGCGGATAAATCGCCGCTGAAGCGTTAATCGATGACGTTGATAGTGCGTTAACACGACAAGAAAATGCGATAATACGAGCGAAAATGGAACAACGCGGGAAATATTTCCTATAATACGATTGTGCGGAAATTACTGAAAATTGTTTCTGTATCACGTCTAGTTTATCGCAATCAGAAACGCATTTTTCTCTCCTCGGCTGTGCTAAATTGGCAAAAGTGTCGCGCGAACATAATTTTCCGCTGTGAAGCTCTTCGTCTTATTTCGCTTCCGCGTCGTGTCGGAGCATTTACCTTATCGAGACGAGTATCATGGCGAATATCAGGTACTTTCCAAGCAGCGGCACAACCAACGACGTCGGCGGGATGATCTCGACGACCAGCAGAAAGAACACGTGGAGACTGATGAGAATCGAGATGGAGAGCGTTACCTGAAATTGCGAGACATTTGTTAAGAAAAGTTTCATTATATAAGGAATAATGTGAAATATTAAAAGTTTGTTTTATTTGAAATGATCGCGTTTATTATAGTAACAGGATAAAGTTATAAATGTCTAGTCATTTATATATATCTTCCATTGAACTACTTTGTACAATTTAGATGTAGAATTTTGTAATCGTATAATATTATAATCGTATTTATAATTTTATAGAATTATACAATTATACTTTATATTTAGAATTTTATGGATTTGTATACTATATAGTTTGTTCTAAATCAAATAAATATATTGGTATGTAACATTCTTTTCATATTTCATTTAGTCAATATTTTGTTTAAAATTGTGTTGAAAAGGAATTAGTCAATCATCTTTTAATTCATGTTTTATCAAATATATCAGAATAGAAGTGCAGAAGTATACAAGAATAAAGAAAGATTATTTTGCTACTTCTGTCACTTTAAGACGAAGAGAAATATGAAGAAGAAGGAACAAGGAACATGGTAGTTCAAAGACACATGTTGCCTTTCCTTCAAAATATGTCCCTTGACAGGCAACAAATTCGTACCTATTCGAAGCGGCCAGGATAGTAAAGGGCCACGGATACTCGAGTGGAAAATTCGTATTTATGATCTGCGTAAAGAATGTACGAAGCAAGAGCCAGAAGGATAAACGGGTCGGCCCCGTGAGGTGAAAGTTGCTCGCTGACAGAATTTATATGTGCCCGTGATCCATTTGTTTTAATAAAACTTGTAAACGAAGAACATCGGGCACGTACAGCCATGTCTCGCAGCGGTAATACTTTTGCCAAGTATGATGAAAATAAAAATGAAGAAGTACAACGGAATAACGAGGAGCAAAGTAAAATAAAATGTTTTTACCCACCATTGCAACACTTGATAAATGAATCTAATTTAATACGAATGGAATCGTAACATACACATACAGCAATATTAAGAAATAAGATTTTTCTCGAGGAATTAAATAAAATAATTAAATAAAAAAGTTATCATAAATAAATGTCGTATATAAAAACTATTACATTTGAGTTAAATTTATATGTTTATTTTATATCACATATATTTATTTGTCCATACACGGACCAAATACATATTTAAAAAAACATATAAACAAGCACATTTTTAATAACATAAATTAAACATACAAATTCAATTAAAACATGATGTACTAATTAAAGACATATTGTCATATGTATCGACATACTTTTTTATATTCTTTTGCAACGCTAAATACCTATAACCTTATATTCATAGTTATAATTATTATGAGTTTTTAGAGTTACCTAATATCGAAACTGTGTAAAAGATTAAAAAATGTTAAATTGCAAAGTTTGTTTGAAATGAGATTTGTTTGAAAAGTATAATTGTTCCTAAAACAAGTGCGCTTCGAGCAAATATTGCATTAGATAGTAGAATATACCGTAACTAAACAAAAAACATTGAAAATTTTTCGTGAAGAATTTATCAGGCACGTTGCGGAAGTTAACTGGGTTAACGATTACTTAAAAAAGGGGGCAGAAAAGGGTCTTCTTGCGTGGAACAGTCTCCACGTCCGGGGTTTTATTATACTCTTTTATGTCGGACATTATATAGGTTGAAGTGCAACTTGTATGAAGTTGAAAAGTCAGACATGTACTTTCCAAACTGTAGTAATTTTTCTAATATTAAACAAATTTTTAAAGAAAGTGTAGTAATAAAAAAAAAAAATAAAATAATTTTTCTATTTAGATGATAAATGCCCGCCATAAGAATACTTAGGTTTTAATACAAGAATCAAAACAAGAAAATTTTAATTAAAAATTTACATGCTACATTTTTGTAATATTCTAAAAATTTAGATGTTATTGCAATGGTTATAGTACATGTATATTAAATATTTTAAAGTGATAAAATATAGAAATATCTTTAATATCTTAATTCTGTATTATAATGTATATATCTCAGAATTTAAAAGAAATTGAAAAATCGCTTCAAAGGATTTGAATTCAACTACATTTGCTGCAAATCCGGGAATCATGTTACGTAATATTCCTCTTAAAAAAATAAAAAGTGAGATTTTTTTACGCGAATTTACTGTAACCGTGATCACGTAACTTTTTTCAGAATAAAATTTGATTGAATAAAATCCATGGAAGATTTCAGACGATGAAAAGTGAAATAAATGTAAAAATGCGCTGACATTTGCGTGATCGATCGTCTGGTTCCAACTAATATCTGGAAAATTCGCATATATAGGTACATCACGATTTGAAAAAATAAAGATAAATATTTTAACAATTTAAATTAAATTATAAAAGTTACGATTGCACTTGGCTCAAAGTTGTCAGTTTAATTAAACTTTTTGTCTCTGTAGCTTTAATATTATTTGCAAGGAAAAAATTTTTAGAATAAACTCAATTTAATATCATATGTGCGTTGTTTGAGTATGTCCCGCGATCTTTCACGAAACCGGAGATCGTTTATCTGTCAATAATATAGGATGTATCGTTTTGTATAAATTCCCGTGAGATAATTCCCGATAAATAATTTCCGACGAAACGCATTTGCGAAAGCATATAGCACGTTGTCAGCCTATATTTCTCTTTTAATTGAATGCGACAGTCGCGTGGTTTTTTAATAGCGCTTTGCGGCGTTTTACGACTATTAATTTACACAGTACGGCTCGTCGTTACATGGAACTATCCATCAAAGCTGCGTCAGTGGCCAGACAATGTTTATATCTCTCTTTCAAAAATTTTATAAGCTAATGTATTTCTTTCAGCTTTCGCAATTTTCAATTCATTATCGCTACTTTCATTAAATAATATATAAATTGCCAATCTTTATTTATTTAATTTTTATTTGACCAAAATTTGAAGCCATGTATATGACATTTATTTTATCATTTATTATTACACTTACCTGGACTACTAACTTTTATTTATTACACTAACCCTACTTACAGTTATTACACTTATTATATAATAATTTGCAGTTATTTTTATTTTGCATTTGTCATTTGTCAATTTTTATGTAAGAGCCAAATAAAAAGATGATTTGCTTGTATATTTCTCTTTAACGAGCATTTATGTTAACTTTTGATCCTTAATCTATAACTATGTCGTAATATACCTGCAGTATAATTAACATACAAGTTGTTTAAAAATATTTCTAATCATTAATCACGTGTGAGATAATAGCTTCCATTATGACTTGAATGTAAAACGGGTCGTTTCTTTTCAACGCATTTTCCGTCGATTACATCGGAATTTGCCGCACTAGCTCAGTAATAAAAAACCAGTTTACATTTTCCAGCAACCACGAATGTATAACACGCGATCATCGACGGTGGGCTCTTATCGGGCAGCAAGTCGGTAGCTCTTATTGCGAATTGAACGCAACGCGAGAGCGAACGAGGGAGGGGGCGAGGGCGCGCGCTTCATTTTTACTGCGGTTTCACTATCGCAATGGCGTTTCATAGCGATTAATTTAAAGGATCGACCACCGGAGGGGCGATAGCGTCTGTCGGGCTGCTGCCCTGTCGTTCGCTCTGGCGGCTTTCATCGATGCATTCGGATCGATAGCGTACTCGGTTACTTTCCATCCGACCGCGCCTTTAATTATTGTTGCCCTCTGCTTCCCCTGGCAATCGCACGCGTATCTTTGTCGTTGTTTCTACCAAATGTTTGAACAAACGTTTCCGAATCAATTTCGCATGATCCGATAATTGTTGTATATTGCGGGAATATATAGGTAACTTTGTCCCGAATTCTCCGGTTCGTAAAATATCTCATCTGAATTTTGAAAGACTTTTTATCGTTCTTATTATTCATGATACTAATTACTTGCTTCCGAAGCCTCAGAAAACCGGTTCCTAATCCTCTGAATAAATTCATACACAGAAAGAAAAGAAGTGTTAAATCAAGACTTATATTCTTGTATAGATATAAGCAAGAATCTAATAATCTTTTTATTTCAACTTTTTTTCCTTGATTATTAAATTGTATAAATACCTTCATTCAAACAAGTTTTCTTCGCGCGCGTTTAACGCAATTTATATCTCATTTCAAGATTATAGATTCTTGCTTATATGTACAAGAATATAAGTCTTGATTTAACACTTCTTTTTTTCTGTGTATATAATTAAATAAATTAATCATAGAATTAGAGTGCATAAAAAAACGTTCAATAATTCTGTTATACAATAAAAATTCCATAATCCGATAAAAGAATAATTTAGATGTTTTGTAGGAGCTTGTCGTAAGCCGCGTATGATCAACAAAAATGTGAACTAATACTGCCTTGTAGCTTGTGCCTTGTCACAGCACAGTCTGTTCGTCATGGCATATCCGCAGTTAAACAAGATCCGCGTATGTACGTTGACGCACGGTTGACGTGACACGTCGTGTTCGATTAACTTGGTCTTGTAAAATATGCGCGTGTAATACCGGAAGTGTTAGGAACGGAGAATCCATGCCGATGAATGGAGATACGTTTCGGAAAATAATGCTACTCACGTTAGTAAAATGAAATTTTAAGCAAATTACTCGTAAAGCAAGTATTAATTATTTGGAAGTTTTTTAATCACCTCAGTGATTACTCTTTCACCAATAATGTGTTGTGTAAATTAAAAGATATTCTTACACATTATTTACAGGCAATGAGAAAATCCATGTTTGACAATTTTTAAATAAAATCTTTTCTAAAATAAGTTTATACATTGTATAATACAAAATTACTTTAGATAATAAAGTAATTTTTATAAGAAAGTTCTTATAAGCAATATGCAAGCAAAAGAAAGAAGATCAGTTTGAAGAAAAAGCGTATAGCTTCCCTCGTATGACTCCAAATAGAAAGTTGCTGGCATACTTTCGGCTGATTACTTTTGGCTTACTTGTCCTTAAGTGGGGTTGTTTGCGTAATTAACGTGAGTGGAATGTCAGCCCGCAGCGAAATTGTCTCGCCCGTGAGCGCAAATCGTCGAATCACGTTGAACGTGTATGGGAATGTTATAAGGCAAATATGATTATATTGTTCGCGGATCCGCTCTCTCCCTCTCTCTCTCCCTCGCTCCCTCTCTTCCTCCCTCTATATGACATAATAATACTCGGCGGTATCCGTCATCCATTTTCCCCACCCGTTACATCCGCCCCGCATCAGTCAAATGATAATAACCTTCGAGCAACATCTTCATGCGGCATCCCAGATTGCGCGCATCGATCCACGCGTAGAAGAGTCGTCTACGAATTTCTTGATAATTAATCTATCTCCCGTCGTAGTTATGTCGCAACATCGAGTCTTTGCATAAAACAGTCGTTTGATGAAAATTAACAAAACTTAACATTCGAGAGTACCAAATTTTCGTGTGTAATTAGAATAAGCTCAAAAATAATAATTATGAATAAATTAAACACTAACTTCAGAATTTTTTGTCTACATCATATATTCAGCTATATACATACACGGAGAGAATTTTCTCTTAAAATTTACCCTGAAATCATGGTAGTTGTGAGACAACATGTCCCACGAAGAATTTTATGCGAGCTATTCTGATTAATATCTACCATAATAAAAAATATTAATATCTATTATACATTAAAATATAAAATATATTTGATTAATTTTACTAAAATATATCTAGGCAATAATTTTTCAAAATTTACCAATTTGCTTGGTATTTTTCATCACGTTGTTTGTAAAATGTCTTTTGTATATTTTAAAAATTTCTTGGTTGCTAAGTTGTTCCAAGTTTGTAGTGAATTTAAGGCTAAAATATAACAAAAAAGTCTCTCCGTGTATATATTTTTGATGTTTTCTCTTTTATAATATCGCCCAGTTTATTTAACCAGGACACGAAGTTTCAAAGTTTCTTTCCTATGGGTTTATGAGAGAAAGATTTATGCTGCACGGTGAACCTGATTTTTTCATTAAATATCTTCGTAAACGCGACGAGGTGCTCAACCGAATAAATCTAAAAATGACGATAAAAACTACTGGGACAAAACAGTGCGGTGTACAGTCATGAGGCATGTCATAAAAGGTGAAGCGGGGAATGCATGTGGTATGCAATTTCGGTAGACGCAGTGTGGCTGCGGGTCAATCACCGAACCGCGATATTGCTTATCGATTCCCTCTGCTTGATTGACATGCCTAGAAGCTGCAACAGACGCTCGCGGCTTTATTTTTTTTTTGGTTCGAAAATCCGCAACCAAATTTATTTTCCTTTTTCTCTATCACCTTCCATCTTCCGCCCTACAAATATTGAAAAATCCTTTCGGTTTTTGCGGTGTACACGGAATATTCGCAGTCTTCCGCGCCTCTCTCATCATTTATACCTTTCTAACGATGCAAACTTAGTAAAATAATGCATTCGTTGGTGTTAAACTGGGAGAGAAATGCGCCAGTTGTGCTCGCCACAAAATATTTAACTGTTATGCAAGAACAAGAACAAACTATTATTAAGGACAGCATGACGCTCTCAAACTCGCAAGAAAACTCTAAGTGTAAAGGTGGCTTTATACGTCGAGTTTAGGCCGCGGAGCTTCTGAAGTGTGTGTGTAACTATACCGTGATAAAGGTCGCCTTTAATATTTCCTCGCATCTGGTAGCATCTGTCCTCCATGATCTGCTCTATACGATGCATAAAAAAAGGTATTTTTACCAACAAGATTAGCATTTTTATGGCTGTATCATATTTATCGGAATCAATTTTTCTTTAACATAATCTAAGAAAGATGTAATTACTTGACATTTTATTTATTATTAAATATAGATTACAGTTTAAGAAGAAAAAATAACAAATTTAGTGTTTCAAATTAATGGGTGAATTTAAAGCATATATAATTAATATACAGATAGATTTATACCCGCGCGAAGCGCGGGCCGAAAAGCTAGTAATATAATATTAGGTAAGAGAAAGAGAATTTTATTTGTATTCTTGTAGCTCCGTTCCGTAAAACTGTTTTAGCTTTCGATATTGATTATTGACAGCAGTAACTATGCCACGATACACGAACAAGCATTGCATTTTTTAGTCAAGTATCCGGTACATCCCGAAGATGCGCGACGACTCTTGCCACCGTATAACTTCCTCGCATTTTTCCGACATGACGGAAGATCCGTATCTCGGAACGCGAATGTTGATAGCAAAGTCTCGACTCGACAGCTATCCGGACGAGAGACGCTTCCGCGAAAAGTCATTCGCAAATTCTTTGCGTCACTTTCTTCGCTTGCATTCGTCGCACGTCTCGCGCGATGCATCCCACGAAAATCTTGCGAGAAATTATGGAGTGCGACACTTGACAGCGTAGAAATAAGCGTACGCACAATCGGGATATAGTTTCTCAAACGGTTATAACGTATCTCCCGAAATTGTGCGAAATAAATCCGCGCGAAAGTTCACCACCGCACAAGAGATTTGACCGAACGATAAAAAGTGGCGTAAGTTAGGCCCATGTACAATGAGAGAAATAAGGAACAAGGAATTGAACATAGAGAGAATTCATAATCGCAATCTTTTTTCAAGACTGTCTTGAAAATCACGTTTTATGTTAATTCCTTGTTTCTTATTCTTCTCATTGTGCCTGAGCCCTTACATGTTATATGTGTATATTATATATGTATAAATATATTGCGCAATGTTTCATTGTGGACATTGCGAAAGTACGTGGAACGTGTCCCGTGCTTATATTTTTGCTTGAAAATGGCGGTAGCAAATGCATAATGGATTGGCGTTTCTTTCTCGCGTTGCCTGCTTCTCGGAAGCAAAATCAATAAACGGTTAAAGATAGAATGAATGATTGACTCTGTGCGCTTTCTCGCGTCCCCGTCAAATCACACCGCTGTATTTCAGTCAAAATCGCCGAATATCGGAACGCTATATCTACGTTTGTAATTTTCCATTTTCCGAGCGAAAGCGGCGTTTAAAACAATTTATTCGAAAAGTACGAATTAAACATAGAGATGAAGAGCCACGCAATTTACAATACGACCGACATTACAAATGTGAAAATTCTTTTGGCAATTCCGTCGATAATTAATTGAAATACAGGTTATTAATTAAATTAATTGATAATTTTAAAATTAATTTGCGCGGAAATAAAAGTTTCTAGCGTGCCACGTATATAGGAAACTGCTCGACAAATTGATATTTTCTTTCAGTCAATGAAGATTCGACACTGAACGGGTTAATGAAAGGAGGCAAACATGTTGCCTCGTGTAAAAACATTCCTATTACGCCCGGTACTTCGGAATACAATCGACTGTCGCCCGTTTCTTCTCAATGACGGATGCTAATTGCACGCGCGATCGATAGTTCTTCAACTGCGCGCAAGTACGACTAATAGTTATGCTTTTTCAGCGAGAAGGAGAGAGGCACGAGGGAGAGAAAGAGCAAGGAAAAAGAGAAATTACTCGAGCGCGAGTCCGCGCGGTCGGCCCAGCGGAAGAAACAAAGAATTGCCGGCCGAGGGAGGTCGGGAAAGAAAAAAAATTTTACAATGCCAGAGTTCACCGAGTAACGAGTAACCTTTGTGGCATGTCGCGAACGTGCCGAGGAACGTTAACGGGAAAAAAACGCGTGGGGAACGTACGGCACGGGGAGCTGTCACGCTATACGTCGATAACTTCGCGCGAAGAAGAACTCTTCGGGAAGAACGTCAGCTGTAAGCGTCGTTCTGGCGGGATAAACCTTTTTTAAAAATATTCCTTCGCTGGAGGGAGAAAACGCGTAGGATCAGGCACGGCACGCATGTTGAGTGGATACTTAAGGACGTCTAAGGATATCTCCCTCTCCAAAGAATATCTATACCTACAGAATATATTCAAGGATGTTTAGAGAAGATCTGTTTGACAGAACGCGTAGTTAAGAAGTGTCGAGAAATGTTGAAGAGACTTAAAAATATCAATGGGCTGTCCAGAATATCCGAGTGACGTACGGATATCCAAGTGACACTAAAAAGATATACAAAAATATTGAAAAATATCTTCAAACACTTATTCCTGTGTGGGAGTAATCTTTTTGGTACTACAATGTTATATGCACTGCATTGACAGCGCGGAAAAGGATCTATTTTCGGACGAGAACGGCGCGAGTCGAGATGGTGGTAAGTCGATGGCGGTGGAAGACGGGGTGGAGATGAAAAATCGCCGGCGCCGTCGAGCCAAACGTAACCACCTACTAGCTCTTACCTACAGATAAGAGTAAATAACGAGGCCGACAGACACGCGGAAGAGAACTAATTCGCCGCATATTTCACGCACGTCTGCCCCGCGGCCGCTTCCGAGAGAGAATAAAGGGATTAATCGTTCGGTCCCTTTCTCGCTTATTCTTTCTCTTTCAGTTATGTTTATTCGCTGTTATGTATTTCTGAAAGTATTATCCAAAAACAGGATCCAGTACGGTATCCTGTTTTCGGATAATATTTTCCTGAGAATGATATCCTGTACGATAATTATTAGCATAAACTTTCACGGAATCTTTTTGATTCTCGATTGCTATTACGTTAGCGATTTAATTAAAATTACAAATACGCTAATATAATTAAGAAAGAAGCAAATCTTATGGTACTGATTTTATAAGCCAATTTTTAACAAACATTAGAGAAATATGAAGTAAGAAATAAAGGAAAGTTAAAAATAGATATCCCTCGTATAATAAATTTATCATTAATTTATTGCGGGTTTAGACTGTTTAGAGAACTAAGTAATCAGAGGTACACATAAAAATGCGATAATAAACGCAAATATTTATCGACGAGAGAGGCTTACCTTTTCGCCGCTGTCGCTAGGCAGGTAAAACGTGAGAACCGTAAGAAACGATATCCCCATGCAGGGGATGATGATGTTCACTGTGTAGAAGAGGGTTTTCCTCCTCATCGTGATGTTGAACGTGATGTCCAAGTAGGGCTCGTCGCAGCAAGTGTAAAACTTCTCGTTCCTGCGAGAAGAAAAGACGCAAGAGACATTGCGGTTAATCGCCGGATCGATGAACGAGCAAAGGGGCGCGCGGTAGGATTACGGCGATGAAGTAAAGAGAAGAGAGAAGAAAAAAATCGCCCAAAGAACGTAAAAATTCCGCTATTCTGGGCGCGGCGAGGCGTTTGTACCCCGACAATAAGTACGTTTTAAGTAAGTAGGGTCGGCGGTGAGCGAGACTTATGAGGAAAGTTTCGCGAGGTCGTATAACTCCGTCGAAGATCTCTCTAAGTCGGTAACTCGGTTCAGACTTCCCTACATTCCCCCCCCCCCCTCGTCCCCCAGGTCTGTCCCCTCTATTCAGGCCGATGGTCTCAAACTTGAGTCAGTGTGTCTTTGTGTCGTGAATAAATTTGAATTTATTTTTCAAACATTCAATTTTTTTTTTTACACAAAAGTAGATTCTAAATACACAAGAAAATTACAAATTGAACAATTGACCCAAATTTTGCTACCCTCCTATACATTATCCTCTTTCGGGATGTGACTTTATCTACTCGTTGGATCAGAATTTCTTGCGAAGGGTCCAATCTTCGGTACGTGACAAATAAAGGGGCGTTTAAATCGAAGGTGTTATCCGCGGCAGTTTCGATATCCATATAATATGGGAGATATAATACTGATACCGAAAGTGTTCGAACATTAAAGCATCAGATGTCTCGGAATATCTTAAACATCTCTAGTGGCAAGTCACCTCAAGTGTCTGCGAAAACATCCATTTTACTACTACGGCAACTTCCGAAAGCAGAACCCGATTCCTGTTGCATCGCGGCATGCTGAATATCGGGAATTGAATCGTGCCCAGAAGCTTCGCTTATGCCAGGCGAGCATATTGAATATCAAGACGCGTTTCATAAGGAAAGAGAAAAGAGTCTCTTTTATACGCGCTTTGAGAGAGATTCCTCTGCCATATATATTTGAGGATCTCCAGGATTAGATTGAGATTTTATCCAGAAAGGATAGATGAACTTTATGACAAATCTTATATTGAATTCTGACACAAGGCGATAAACCACAATTCATGAGATCTCAAATTCGAATCTCTATTTAAGAGTTTTACGAAATATATCGCGTATAAACGGATCCAATAAAACTCCGATTGGTTTTTTTACAATAATATATATAGAGGTATTATATCATATACTAAAATGCAAACAGCGATGTATCAACATAATTCTCCGTATTCGAGGATCAAATAAAATTGCGCGCAACGGACACTTACCGAACTGCAGGCACTTCTAAAATATCCCATTCTACCGACATGTAGAATTCGGATAGGTCAACTCCCACGTCCACCACGTTGCTCCCCAATTTTTCGTCCATGTGTCTTAGATCGACCTACGTGACAGAAAAAGTGGCTGGCATTAAGCTCGCGCGCGTAGAAAGCTCGCCGTCGTTGAAAACGTTCGAACTCCATGCCCACGTAATTCATCTCTGACGTGCGAGCGTGCAGTCGGAGAGCTAGTGAAGCTTCTTATGAAAACGTATATAAACAAGATAAAAGGGATTCCATTACTATATGTATCTTTCCAATATATTTCCTCGAATCTTAAAAGAGGATTTAACAAATATATCGGTTCGTCGTGGGCTTCGGTCTGCAACTGCACGCTCGCGGTTAACTGCTTAATTACGAACAATAATAATTCTGAAATAAACTTTCAGTGCATTGTCTTGAGATGCACTTGGTGTTCGCAGAAGCGCAGAGGGAGCTAATTGTCAAGGAATGAAAAAAGACGGAGCGTCGACTGTGGTGGTCCGCAACAACAGGACACTCTAGAGCAGCAACTAGATCAGCGGAGTATATCGCCTTTATATACAATATCGATATCTATGTGTGCACCACATTGCAGAGTAAAAAGAACACGCAGTCAAAGAAAGAAACCAGACTAGCGCACTCGATTCGGTTTCACTCGTCAATTCAAGGCTGTAACAGTAGCTTGCGCCTAACGCTAACGAGATATTTCCATTCAGCCGCGATTTTTCGGTGTGTAAATATGTTTCTTTTTTAGAATCATTGACAGCGACTTTCGACCTCAATTGATCTGTAGACTGTCGTGGAAGCTTTGTGTAGCTCAGAAAATAAAAATCTTTACCCAAAAAAAAAAATTAGTTCTCGTGTAAATCTGAAACTTTATCCTCCCCAATTTATAATAATCATTGTCATTTTTTCCGCGGAGATATTACGCGAGCTCCTGACTATCTCTAATAAACTGTCTCTTCGTACAACGTTTCATTCTTCCGACAATGAGTTAGAGGCGACATCAGTTATTTCAATATACTGCGAAATTTTTATCTCGCAAAATTAAATTCTACTATTCCAGGCAAAAAAACGTATAATTGTACTTGCTGTAATTTGTACAGTAATATTTTTATGGACGTAAACTTTGCGATTTACTGTGTAAAATTTACTGCATGTTATGATTACGACGACAACTATTGTAGGACCAAGTTCACCGATGCACAAATAGTTGCCTCATCGGGAATAATTCCGCCGTTAAGTTTCTAACATTGTCTTCTCTGTGAAGCCATTCGAGCGACATGCAGCGAGATTAAAGCCAGCGGCGGCTTTAATGTTACGTAAGTGTCTAACCATTGGCCCAGGCGATCGCTCGCTCTGCAGTGGTATTACCGTGAAATACCTCGGGCAGACGCATCTCCGGTGATTCGAGTAACGGTGCACTTGCGGACGATACTTTGTCACTGGCTGCGGGGCGAGATTAAAGCCGGCAAACAATTTCGATGCAGCGCGCCCGTGATCGCGGTTCCGAAGGATGCAATCGCCCCGAATTGCCCCGAAATCTGACGAGCCAGTCGGCTTTCGCGACGACACAGAGAGCCATGCACTATTGTAAATCACGTTCGTCTGTTTTTTTTTTGCCGAGAGCGCAATTTTGTTACAAATTTTTTTCACGGGACTGTTCGTCTTTTGAAAGTTTCAAGTGTATTTAATGAAAACAGCTGAAAAGGAAACTAATCAAACTTGCAGTATCTCTCCTCTCCCGTCCTGTATCAATTTATGAAATTGTGAAAAAGCTAAACGACTACAAGAAAACTCGAGTAGATTTGTGATTTTCTACGATCCACTTCTCCAACTTAAATCCGATAATTGTCTGTTCTGATAAGAAAAGTTCGAATTCTGAGATTAAATTCAATCGTTGTGTGAAATGATTTAACGAGAATAAAATGTAAAGTTTTCAAATGAAAATTGGTAATGTATCTAAAAAAGAATTTTATCTAGCTATGTAAATAACATACTCAAGGATTTTAAACCCAATTATGCAAACGTGTGGCTTAAAATTCCGCTAAAACGAGAATTATACTCGCGAACGCGCACTTCGCACCTGCAGTGCTACGGAGTAACATTTCACTTAGGTTCACGCGAAATCGAGGTGCTGCAGACGGAATTAATTAAAGGCGGCGTGTACCGGGGGTACCGTACCATCTGATCTTGGCGAACTTTACTAAAGATCCTTTGAAGTGTAGACAGGCTGCCACATTAATCTCGCGGGTGTAGTCGGACAAAAACGGAATTTAAAGAATATGCGTTATCAGTCGAAGCACGTCGCGCAATCCTTTTTCTCTAAAAATTGCGTTATCTTGCACGTCTCGTAATCGTTACGTGTGATTCACCCGCTTCGCATTTATCTCGCCAATTTACTCTCCCGTTCCACGAAGAAAATTTACAGCACTTACTCTCTCTCCCCTCTGCAGTATCACTTTATTACAATTACTATTCATTTATCGTTATATTTCTATGCATTCATCTAGCTCTAGCATATACTCTTGTATTTTTCTGCTGTATATTAAATGTCGTTTTCGTAATAAAATGTTTTGTACATAAATTAATTTAATATACCGATTATTTCTATTATATATATAATTATTAGCACTACAATAAATGCTTAAAATATAAAAAAGTATATTCTCATTCATCCTTATCTTTTATCAGAAATTATAAATTCCTCAAGTCGACGGTGAAATTAAAATACGAAGAAATGTTACGAAGAAAAATTTCATTGCAATGATTAGTATATTATCTTTGTAGCTCTTCTACTCGGACTTTTTGAAAAATAAAGAACTCCGCGTGGCACTTTTCCAAACTGCGTTTGTTTCAGACTAACTGACGTACAAAGGGAGATAGAAGCCCAATAGGAGTCCGACGATTTGTGAACGTTTTCTCGTGACTTGGGAAGAAGAACAGACGAGGAACAGACGTAAGTTACAAAGGACGCGAGACGCGCGTACTTTTTAAGCAGTGATGAATGTCGCCGGAAGATCTCTCAAAGTTGCAAGCTCGGAAAGGAATCGACTGGTACAAATGGCTAGGGCGATGTAACATCGGTCAAACGAGACGCACTTGAACGTTTCTCGAACTCTTTTTCGAGAATGTTTCGAATTTTGCAGTGCCCGTTGGCAACTTCGCGACTGGTATAAAAAAAAAAGAAGCACAGAGATTTTAAATAATCTTTGTCGTGAATGCCGAAAGACTGGATGTTCAAGGATACTCGCAGAAATAATAACGCGTGAGTAGATTGTTTATTGACTTATTTGAGAAGACGAATCCTTCTAAAGACAGCCAAGACAGCTAGTTCGCCGATACGTTGGAGATTGCTTGACTGAGATAGTCATGGTAGTTCCACGTGCTCCACTTATTGCATCGTCGCCTATTGCTTTTGTTATACCGCGTATAATCGATCGCGAAAACAATTTTAACTTCACCTACATTCGCCGGAGAGGAAACGAAAATATCGCTTTGTTTTCGTCACTTTTGGTCTTCAAACACGGCGAAATTTTGCGAACTTGCTTGAAAATTTTGCATGATACATATATTGAATTTATCGCGCTTCGCTAAAATCGATCTCTCGCACGGCGCACGAATCTCGAGAATAGGAGCTTTGCTGATCGAAAGATCAGTGTTGATCTTATGATGCGATAGAAGGCGAGCTTGATGTGATGGAGGATGGGTTGAAAGGGTGATTCGATGAGGCGGTTTAGATAGCCGGGCTTACGGTGTCTAGACACGGCGAGGGAAGATATGTGAGGGAGGGAATGACGGCGAAAGGCGGTACGGGGTGTGCTGTATTCAACAATGAAGAGCGCGCGGGTTCTCGCATCGTGGGCGGGTTAAATTGTACTTTGTGGCCGTGCGAGAGCGAGCGCACAGTCACTTAACATTCTAAAATACTCCGACGGTTTTTTCCTCGCGTGCGTTCCGGTCGATCGGTACGCCGTATCGTAATGCATTTTAATTGCAACCACTTTCACGATTGAGAACAGAAAAATTTTGCATTGCAAATGTAACAGATGAATAGCAATAGGTAAATAGATACTTAGTAGACTGCGCTGTTCTCGATGTCAAAAAGAATTCGTCATTTGCGATAAATTCTCTTCTATTTTTTTCATTATAAAAGTTGTATCAAGATCAATAAAATCTTAATCAGAAAAAACCAGCCACCCTTTTCCCGGTTTCATACTTCGCCTGTCTCCTCTCATTTTTTCTGCAATCGACAATCCGACATAGAGATGAACGCCAGCAAATATTTAGACGCAAGTGTACGCCGCGTTCTTAAAATATTTTTTCTTTAGCAAAAAAGCTCTACCGTGACAGGGCCAATAACATTGTGAGAGACTGCAGTTTCCCTTACTCAAGATCTCTCGTATTTCTGTGTCTGTCCTCTTCCCTTTTTTCACTCCGTGTCGCCGTTTAAACGGGAGGAACGCGGACCAAGTAATTTCGATGCGTCCACGTCGAGTCGACTAATTGCGTTTCTTCAGTGCCCGTAGCTTTTTGCCGGCGGGCACTTGACGTCGACGAAGAAGTTACGATGGGCGGACGAATCGATTTCGTAGGACAGTGATTTTTTGTCGTTAGCTATCGGTACGTCGCTCGCGGAACGGCGTATGATGAATTGCGGCCGAAAGATGATGGATGCCGCGACTGCCGTCCTTTTTCTTTTCACGATTCGCTTCGTCCTTGTCTCACTTTCGTAGTTAATCGAGAGACTCGGACAACGAAGATCTTGAATTATCTCCGAAAAGTTGGCCGCATGATGAGTAATTGAAAGAAAGATTCGCGAAGGAACGGACGGACCGCCGCAGTGCAAGATGAATAATTACGAGATTTGCGAGGTTTGCAAAATGAAACTCAAGATTTGTGAAATTCTCATTTTACGAGGAAAACGCTCTTCTCTAGAACAAACGTACTTCATTCTAAACAGACTTAATTTCATGTTTTATTCTTTGTCTACAATCGTGAAAATGACGTGAATTTTAGGAACGCGAATCCTCCGAGCGCGTTAAAAATATAGACGAAGCAAATTCAATTTTTTAAAAATGCA